CTCAGTATCCTTTATACATACTAACTTAGACTTCTTTATAATATCTTTGAACGAATTGACGGTTTGGTCAAATTGACCAGAAGTACTACAAATAACAACTAACTCATAGAATGGGTTCTTCTCATCTAGTTCTTGTTGTTGTGCAGCCATTTTAAGATAAGTGAAAGTCTTACCCGACCCAGGTGGTGCGATTAGACCTGTTATACCATTCTGAGCAAATAGGAACTTGTCATGTATGGGTTTTATCTGAGCATTTTCTAACTTCCTCTTGTTCTTGTTTAAAACATTCTCAAATTTCTTGTCAATGTCAGCAAACTTTTTTTCTAACATATTTTTAGAAAAATTAAAATTTTTATCTTTTAGAAAATGTCGAGCGATTTCGCTATCTATATTCGAGACAAACTTTTCGACAGCAAAACATCTGTCGACCATAAAATCTTACATAGTGTAAACAAGAAAGGTGAATTTGTTCTAAAGTTCTGTTTCTGGGAATATGACAAGAACCATAAAACATTAAGCAGAGCAGTCTTAAAATTTGTCAATGACAGACTTGTTGACAGAGATGACGCCGATTGGAAAGATGAAGTCCAACAAAAGTTCTTAGAATGCAAAGAAGACACATGCGCTGTTCTTGAAGATGAAATAGAAAACAGAATAGAAGAGCTATTAAAGGACAAAGAACTTTTACATAAATATGGTTGCGCCAAATTTGACATAACTCCACCAGAGAAGAAGAAGAAGAGAGAAAAGAAAGAAAAGAAAGTAGAAGAAGAGAAGAAAGAACCTGAACCAGAGAAAAAGAAATTTGACATGTAAAAATAAAATTTTATTTTTAGAACATTTCTGGGTCAATGTCAATGTTCTCTTCCTCTTTAGGAGCAAACACTGGCTTAGACTCTAAAATCTTTTTACCCAATTTACCTTGAACTTCAACTATCTTAGACTCATAATATTCATAGTCGTCTGCTTTCTTTGGTTCATAAGGTATAACAAGTTTGTATGCTTTGCCTTCTTCGAGTTTTGAGAACTTTCTGTCAAAATTTTCTTTGACTGTCAACATACCGTCAATGTATAAGTCTTCAAAAGTTGCACCACTTTTTCTAACAACAGCAAACTTAACTGGTACAATGTTCCAAATTTTGTCAAATGTAGACTTTTCAAAATTGTAGAAGTAAACATTCAAATATGCGAATGGAGCTAACTTATCTTTGACTTCTGACATGTACTTGTTTACTGAGATGAATTTTGTCATCTTTTCTATCGGATAAAAAAATATTTTTTTTTTAAATTTACTCAGAAAAATTTTTCTTTGTATATACACCATTCTGTATGTCTAAAAGACTTTTGACATTTGCCAAGAATGTTCGTTTAAACGCTGTCATATAACCATACTCTTGACAATATTGTTTATATTCATCGTACAATGACCTTTCATCTAAACACTCAAAGTCAGTTTCATCTATGAACAGTTCATATACACTCTTGTTTGCTTCTAACAATGTTTGTCTCTCTTCGGTATGTGGAATTTGTCTTGGATTGAACTTAGAAATATCTAATGTCATGAAATATGAGAACAAGTGGTTGTAAAAGTCAGATGTCAAAGTTTCTGCTAAGTCGTCAAAATATTCTGTATCTTGCATATGAGAATCTGACGTTCTGACAACTACATATCTTCTGTCAGAACTTTCTAACTTCATCGGAACAGCATTGTTTGAAACCATAATGAAGTTTGCAACATTTTCACAAACTCTTTGGTCTTTATATTTTCTTTCAACAACTCCAACTTTGTCTGTTATAAGACTCTTCAAAGCATCTGAGTTCAAAACTTTTGTTGTATCTATACTTTGAAGTTCATTGCAAACTATAAGTTTCATATTCTCAATTGAAGAGTTAAATTTACCGCAGATGTTTTCTAAGTTTGTCATATTCGGATTCGAATAACCTTCTAATAGTTTGCATAAGATATCTGTAAAGAATGTGTTCTTACCAGTTCCTTGTTTTCCAATTATAATGAGAGCAGTTTCATTTTTAGCACTTGGATGTTGTAAGATATTTGCAAACCAACATAAGATATACTCATAGACTCTTTCGTTTCCATTGCATATAATTTCTTTGACATGGTCTAACCAAGCTTCTATAATATTTTCTTTCCATTCTACTTGTTCGTATTTATATCCAGTGAAGATAGAATAGAAGTTTGGAGAAGGTGTATAGAACTTTATACCACGAACTGAAAAATCTTCTAACTTTGACAATAAGATATCCCAAGCATCTAACATCTTCATGCCAACTTGTACGACTTTTATTTTCTTAAGTTTCTGTCTACATTCTTGTTCAGACACTATTGTTGCTCTTGGTTTGTTAAAGACAACATCCCATTCTTTCATGACATAACATTCTGGGGCAGAGTCAACATAAATGACTAAACGTTTCAAATTCTCGACTGCTTTGTTATAGTCTCTAAATGGACACATATTTCTGAATGCTTGGAAGTCATAAAAATCTGAAACATCTATTCTGTACATTTTTATAAAAATAAAAAAATAATATTTTTTTTTATTCTTGACTTTGTTGTTCCATTTGTTGCATTTGTTGTTCTTGAGCTATTTGTTGTTGAAGTTGTTCTTGTAATACAATACTTTCACCAGTTGCATCTTCCAATTCGAAACTTTCTGCCGTCATTGACAAATACATAGGACATAAAAGTTTTACAGGAACAAAGTTTGCGTCAACTAAGGTTAAGTTTATGTTTGCTAAAGTGTTTGAGTTTACTAAAGCTGAAAATTCTGCATTCGAATGAACAATAGGCAAACCAGCAGAGAAAGTGTTGTTTATACGCATGAGTATCTTTTGGTCATAGTAGTTTCTGTCGACATTCGAATAGCACTTTGAACCTAAGTTTGAAACAATATATAAAATAGGTGTACTTAAAGTCAATGGAACAGACAAACCTTGTATGACACCTTTTCCTGTTATAGGAAACTGTTGGTAGTAAAAACCAGATATAAGTTTTGTATTATAGCTCATATCGTTTATACTAAACTCAGTCGGACATCCAAACATAATGAAACCTGCTCTAGTTGCAGCACATGTTACATCCGTCCTTAAAGTATTAAATAAGTCAACAAAACCTGTTGGTGGTATATCTGAGTAAGTATCTTCAAAGAAGTATTTTTTACCATTCACAACAACAAAGTCTTCTGGTGTCAAAAGAGCAAAACAGGCTTTAGTCGTCATCGTGTTTAAGGTCAGTTTACAATATCGTCCTTGAGGACTTTGTAAGTTTGTTGTTATAGAATTATATGACTCAGGGTTTTTAGTCGTAATAGTATAAACCACTATGTCTTCTGCCATTTACATATATTTAAAAGTTTTTCTGAAAGTGGAGAAGAACTTCATCTAAACTTTCACATGGCGTTTCTTGAAGTTCTCTGTCTAAGAAGTTCAAATATTTTGTAAAGACATAGAACTTTCCTTTGTCTACACGAACAAACAAAACAGGGTCTTTCATATCGTTCAAAAGTGTGTAAAGTCCTTTACATGAAATAAAGTCTATATTATTTTTCTTCAAACATCTTTCAAGAAGTTTTGACATTTTTACTTAGCAACTAAATTTTAATGAAATGTTGTGGTCGTCAAATATTTTTATGACGTCTGGGAAACTATATTTTAAGTTCAACGTTTCACCTCCTTTCATAACGTATATCTTGTCAATGACATTATATGAAACACCACAGCAAGCAATGTCGGGTTCTATTTCTTTGATGTTTATATCGTCTGCCTCTGTCAAAAGTTTCAATAGTTCTTTCAAAATTTCATGAGGTGCGATGACATATGAGTTCACTTTTACAGGGTTGTGCTCAACCAAGTTTAACATTATACCAAAGCCTGACAAATCTTCTCCTGAGTTTTAAGTTTGTCTTTAAGTTGTTGGTAGTCGTTTCGAATATCTGCAACAGAACTTAAGTCTCTGCTAACTTCAGGTATGTTGGTTGTTCTTTTACAGGAACTATTGTTATACATCTTCGTCTTCGTATGGTTTCCCCACTTCAACATCTTTTCTTTGACATTGACAACAACACTTTGACTGTTTGTTTGAGTTGGTGAATTTAACTTCACATCTGCCACCGCCATTAAACCTTTTGAAACACTTACGCTTCTATTTTTCGGAAATGACATTTTACTTAGAATAAAAAGATGGACGTTTGAGTATCTCTTCGAATTGAAGCAGAACAAAGTTTACACACACAAACAATACAAGTTCATTGATAGAATAGTTCTTTATACAAACAATGGAAAATGTTATAGAATAGCAGTCTTTGCTGAACCAAAATATTTTCATAAAGCAAAGAAAGTTGGTATAACCGAGATGGTGAAAGTTCTTGAAGCAGACAAAAATATAACAACAAAACTGACGATATTTCTAAAGGTAAGTTTTTAATACAATACTATATCAAAACTGGCGTACTGTCAATATTTGACGGAGAGAAGTCAGTTCAAGAACAACTTACTGACCTGCTGCCAAAATCTGCTCGATGGAAGCTGTCGTTATGCCAATCTGAGGAGCCCCAGCAGGTTTCATCGAACGAATCTTCAAAAGAGCATCTTCCGTGAAAAGTGCTATTGGTTTTGTAAACTTCTTTGCTTCAATTCATCTGGACCGTCTCTGTCACCAGTATATTGTATTTGAACTGTACCAACAGTTGAAATACCACCCATAAAGTCTTCTGAGTCAGCAAATGGAATGCCAAGCCAAAAGTTTGAACGGTCTCCATTTGTATATTGAGTTTTTTGACCTCCTGTATGAGTCCATACTTTCACATATGGCATAATAGAACTTTGCATTTCAGGGTTTATGGTTGTTGTGAAGTTGTTGTTAAAGTTCATAGCATCTAATGTCAAGTTGTATGACCTCATATCCTCAACTGTAGAATATTCTTCTCTTGGATAGTATTTGCCATCTATGTTTATATGGTATTTAATACCAGGGTTGTAGAAGCAAGAATAGTCATTTATAGTTCGTCTGAACAGTACAAACATAGTATCTGCATGTTTCATTGCAGTTGTTAAAGCAATATCTGTTCTTGCACCTGGGTCAGCACTTTGGTTTCCAACTTCACCTGCAAAGTCTTTGACAGATATTTGGTGTATAGGGAACATAAGTGGAACTGCAATATATTTGGCAGCTAAAGCATTTGAAATATCTGGGTCCAACATATAGACTGCAAGTCTGCTTTCTATTCTCTTGCATTCAAACTTTTCGCATGTGAACTTAACTGGGTCCCAAGCATCTCCAGCAGCATTGAAATAATAGTTTACTTCAGTGTTGAGGTTTGAGAAACCAAAGTCTAAGTCAACTTTGTTTTTGCAAAAGTCGGCGAATGACATTTTATTTGTTCCCACTACTTCTGTAAGAGTGAATGGGTCTTGTGTTGGTGCAATGACTAAGTTATTTTTGCTTGGAGTAAGTTCGATAGAAATTTTTCCTGCCCAGTTTGGCAAGTATCTTAAAAACCTGAAGATGAGGAAAGATGACAAAGGAACTCTAAGTTTCAGTTTTACTTTGGTTACTGCTGCTGCAGTTTGTCCAGAAAGGTTAACATAAACTCCTGGAACGTTAGGGTCAAGTCTTCTTATTTTCTCAATGGTGGCATACTGGTCTGTTTGTTCTCTAGCTTGTGGTTGTACTGAGTTTCTCAAAGCGAACCATTCATAGTTTGCCCATGTTACTGTTTGAACTAAGTCAGAGTTAGAATATATCTTATATCCCATGAAAACTTCTGGAGCATATTGGTATCCGACATAGAAAATCCATTGCAACCTTTCTTGTCAGACAACTTGGCAGAAGGTTTTATTTCAATGTCTTGTTCCACGTATAAGAATGAGTTGTCAATAGAAATTATATGAAACCTGTCGCAAGCAATATCTACTGTTGTTGAAGAACCTTCTCCAAACTCACCTACATTTCCATAAGAAACAGCAGTTTATATTCGTAAGTTCCAGGAACTATTTCTGACCTTCTAATGCATTGTCGCATTCGTTATACCATTCGGAAACATTTCCATTCATGGCATCCAAAACTGTTGGCGTTATATTCTGAGCGGCGTACATTTCATATGAGTAAAAATATAGAATAGTTGGATTTATATGTCATAATAGAACCACTCCGACCAAGCTTTACTTTCTTCCTGACTGAGTTTTTAACTCTTCTTTTTCCTTCATTGCCCTCTGCTTCAAGTTGTTGCATCTTTGCCTCATGTTCACCTAGTATGTTGTAAATTTCCCATGTCCTTTTTGCCTTTTGGCTCTGGTCGCCCATCTCAGGTAACCTATATCCTAGAAAGAGTTTGTCATAGTCATGTATTAGTCTTCGCGTATTGTTTGCATGACTCTTTCCTGAGTTTCCGGTTCAAGCGCTTCAAACAGTGCCTGTCCATATGGAATAAGCTCGTTTCCAAATATATGTTTTTGTAGCCATTCTGGTTTTCTTTCCATGTTACCAACTATATCTTTTGTGAATGGGAAAGCTTTTACCCAATCTTTCAGTCTTGCGTCGTTTATTTCTGTAGTTGGTTTTATTTTGTCAAGGAACATGTTTTTCAATACTAACATTTCATTTGGTACTGTCCATTTGAGTTTTCTTAAATATTCATCCCTTCTCGATTCATCGTCTGCAAAGTAAGTTTTTATGACATTTTGTAAACTTTCGTTTGCAAGGTCATGTACAATAGGTTCTCTTCTCTCTCCCTAACTGTCTTTCTAAACTCTTCACCAAATATACCATCTCTATGGTTCTGTGTAGTTCTTTGAGATAAATGTTTTAGAACGTCAGGTGTTATATTTCCATCAGCCATGTTCATTTCATACTGGTCCAAAATATCTGCATGTTTCATATCTTTCAATGGCATTAAAGCCGCGCTTAAAATACCAGCTATGTCTCGTTCACCATTGACTTCCATTGCGTCTACAACTTCTTGGAATTGTGGTTGTAAGTTTATGAACCACCTATCCGGTTAGCTTTATGACCCCATCTCATTGTAGTTCCATCGTCTGCAGAAACAAAAGTAGGTTTGTTTCCATCTTGGTTAGGTTCTGAATGAACTTTAAACAATGTTTCATTTCTATATGTTTTCTTGAAATTTAACCTTTTATTTTCACCGAGTTCATCCGAAGATTGAACGTTAAATGCTCGTAAGTAAAAAGGGTTGTTGTATTTGTGTACATTTTTCTTTCAGTACTTCCATTCTATGCTGAATATTTTCATCTGGTGCTGGAGTCTTTTGTATGTCGGCAAACATTTTTCGATATTCTTCTACTATGTCAGCCGAATTTTTTTTAGACTCTTGGAAATATTCCATATTCTCCGCATACTCTTGTTGAGGGTCAAGATTTTTCGGCTGTTCCAAATCTTCATCTAGTTCTGTGAAGTTAGTTTCCAAAGGAGGGACTTGTTTGTTTCCTTCAGGCTCTTCTAGCTGTTGTTGCTGAACTATTTCTTCCATGTCTGGTTGTATCTGAACTTCTTCCTGTGGAGTTTCTTGTACCTCATCTGCTGGCATTTCATATATTCCGAGACCGTTTTCAACAATTTCCCTATCTACGTCATCCGCATTCATAAGCTTTTGTTCTTTCGTTCCGTCTCTATTTTTTACGCGTTTCATGACGAAAGTTGAATTGTCATTTAGCTCTGACATCAAATATCTCGGAGTAAATTCATCCATGTCATTTGGATGATATGCTATTAAATCATATCCCTTAGCGAGCTTGTATTTTCCAGGTTTGAGATTATATCCGTTTTGGTGCTGAGCCATAAAGCTAAATAGGTTCGGGTCAGTATTTCCATCCTTGAACTTTCTAATAGCTTCTTTATATCTGTCACTAAAAGTCAACAGTATCTGGGAAACCACACTCTTCTTTAAGCATTTTTAAGAATTCTTGGTTTCCTTGTTCTCTACTTCTTTTATGTCCTTGCTCTGTTTGTGGTTGTTGTTGTGCAGGGTTTTGAACTGTTGGTTGTGCTGGATTTTGAACTGTTGGTTGTTGTGTTGGTTGTTGTTGTTGTTGTTGTTGCAGGGTTTTGAACTGTTGGTTGTTGTGTTGGTTTTGGTGCATGCCTGTGTCTGTGTCCATGTGACGATGTAAATGTTCTAGGTAGTCCTGGTGCAGGTGCTTCTCTTGGAGGGTTTGGTGGTATATAAGTTCCACCAGCTGGCACATATGTTCCATCTGCAGCGTAATGTCCTACCTGACTTTTCGTTCTTAAGAAAGCATTTACTAGGTCTGTTTTGGTCTGTTGTAACTCTTTTTCTTGACTTTTCACAACAGTTGCTCTAACGGCGTCATAGGCACTTTGAACTGCCTGTCTCGTTGCTGCATCTGTTATTTTCGTCATATTTTGTGCTACTTCTTTTAACTCTTTGTCGAAACCTTCAGACTTCAGTTTCTTTCCAGATGAGAAGTCGTTCACTTGTTTCACCTTACTATGAAGAGCTTCGAAAGCGTTCTTAAAGTCAGCATTTGTTAAAGCTTCATTTGAACTGTCTTCATCCGCTTGTATTTTTGTCCTTATTGACCCTATAAGCTGGGCTGCTTTAGCGTTGGCTTGGGCATCTAACCAGTCATTGTTAGCTTTTATATATTCTGCGCTTTTCATTGCCTTTTGCATGGCTGCGTCGTTATTTTTACTTTCTTGTGCTAAGTTTTCATACTGTACGGTTTGGTTTTGCAACTGTAAAAGTTTTTCTGCCTTTACATTTGCTTCAACTTCCTTTTTATACTCATCGCTATCCATATATGTCTTCAGGGCTTTTTGTTTTATCTCTTCATCTTTCAGTATTTTATATTGAGTAGTATGGTTTTTCAAATTTAAAACATCTTGTTCCATTTTTGCTACTTCTGCTGCTTTTTCTGACACTTTTTTCGCATATTCCTCTGTACTTAGTTCTTTCAGTTGTTCTTCTTTCTTCTTTTTCTCTACGTTTAACTCATTGAGTTTCTTTGTGTGTCTGTCATATTCTAGTTTCTTTTCGTTTTCACTTATTTGCTTCTGTATGTCTATGTTTGACTTTTTGACATCTGTTATTTGATTTTTGAGTGAACTCAAATTCATTTGACTTTGAGGGTTATATGCTGTTCCGTCTGCAGCTCCACCATAGCCTGCCATTTTCGCTAAAAGTGCCGCTCTTAAACCTCCACTCTGTGCACCAACAACTCGGTTTAAAAGCATAGGATTGCTTGACATTTGTTGCAACATAGTGGGGTCATTCAGCATTTGTTGTTGCAACTGTTGTTGTGGTGTCAGTCTTACTATTGGATGTTTCAATGCTCTCTTCCTCTTACGTATATTCTTACGTAGCTTACGTGGCATTTTAAGTGAAGTTAAAAACATTTACGATGAAGAAGTTTCGACAAAACATTTACGAAGAAGTCTTGACAAAACATTTTACGAAGAAGTCTTGACAAAACATTTACGAAGAAGTCTTGACAAAACATTTACGAAGAAGTCTTGACAAAACATTTACGAAGAAGTCTTGACAAAACATTTACGAAGAAGTCTTGACAAAACATTTACGATGAAATTCATGAGTTTTCTACGATGTTAGAAAACATGTTAGAAAAGGTGTTAGATCTAACATTCTAACATAAACATTATTTTTTGGTCATTTACGCTCATTACGATGAAATCATGACAAAACATTTACGAAGAAGTCTTGACAAAACATTTACGAAGAAGTCTTGACAAAACATTTACGAAGAAGAAGTCTTGACAAAACATTTACGTTCATGTTTGACAAAACATTTACGAAGAAGTCTTGACAAAACATTTACGAAGAAGTCTTGACAAAACATTTACGAAGAAGAAGTCTTGACAAAACATTTACGATGAAATCATGACAAAACATGAAAACATATATAATTTGTGAAAAGTGAAACATTATATAATGTTTTCGACCAAGAAGACTAACAATTTTCCGAATAAAAACTTCATTTATACTAAACATCTTCGGGGGCTAGAAGGCACGAAGTGCCTGGAAGCCATCCCCCAAGAAAAAAAAACTTCATTATACTCATTCATCCTCAGGGCTAGAAGGCACGAAGTGCCTGGAAGCCCCACTCCCTTTTTTTTTTTTTTTTTTTTCATAAGGTCAGGAAAATTAAAAAATCTAGATACTCAGCCATTCCAAATATAAAGTTGAAATTGGGAATATAATCATTTTTTTGCCAAACCCGAGAAAAATCCTTAAACTGGGAATTTCTCGCATATGTTCGTACATGAGCAAATACTATACCTTTTGCGAATAAAGAATTTTTTCATAAAAAAAATTTTTTAGGAATTAGCATATCGGCGTTTTGCGACATTGCCAAACGCCAGATTTTACCCCGACATATGAGCATAAGCTCGTATATTGGAATAAACTCGACTTATTCCATATTAAAGTTATTATAATAATAAGGCACTTAATGTGCAAATCTAATTGAATTAGAAAATGCACATTAAGTGCCTTTTATTGGAATATGTAATACCACATATGGAATACCGAAATCCGAGCATCAATTAGGAATGAACTAGTGCAAATTTTAGAAATACAGTATTATGTTAAATTCAGGATAAAAATTGTTAGAAATTTATATTTACAAATGAGTAAATAAGTATTTTGTAAAGTTTTCGTTTGATTTTCAAGCTTGTTGGAGAAAAATAATGAAAATAATTATTTATTTAAGCAATTTACACTAAAACTTTTTATGGAAATTGTAGTTCTAGCAATGTCTTA